ATCCCCATTCCTTGGTTCACCTAAATCTGTAGATGAAACCTGCCTGCATAAAAGCCTTAACTCGGATTTTTCGAATTTCTGATCAAGATAATGATGGCACCCTGAATGATGCAGAACTCAACTTCTTTCAGGTATTTCTTCATTTTCTGTTGTGTTTCATCCTGAACTGTTCATTAAACCTCAAGAGAAATACCTCAGTTGAAACCACTGCTGATATTTTAATGTTTTGGCCATGTAAGGCCGGGGTACTATGCTCATTGTAGAGGACTTTAATTGTGGTGGTAAGGGTGGGGTTGAAGTGGCTGCAGAAACAAAGGCTGAAAACGTTGCAAGACTTTTGCTATCATCCTCTCCTTTCAGAGAGATGGGAGCAGTGAGCTTCTGTGTCTCCAAAGATACAGCAATTGTTTGTTGTTCATTACATGTATATAGCAATAGCACTTAGGCTTATATACTGCTTCACAGTGCTTTCCAACCCTCTCTAAGCAGTTTATAGAGTCAGCCTATTGCCCCTACCAATCTGGGTCCTCATTTTACCCACCTCAGAAGGATGGAAGGCTGAGTCAACCTTGAACTGGTGGGACTTGAACTGCTGGCAATCAGCAGTCAGCAAATGTAGCCTGCAGTACTGCACTATTGCGCCACCATGGCTCACATACCACTTGTCTCACTGTTGCAGTGACTCTGGGCAGCATACAGAATGACAAAAAGTCTTTTTTTTAAGTAACAGAGAAGGATTAAAAATAAGAAGGTTAAATAAGAACTAAAAAGCAAGAGGGCAGGCAATGTTGGGGTTGGGATCGTCTCTCTCTATCCCATCAGCCACCCCAGCATAGGGTGCACCAATCGAGGCTGTGGCCAAGCACCCAAACCAATTTTTAAGGCTCTTCCAGAAAGCCAGGAGGGTGGGGGCTGACCTCACCTCCAGTAGGAGAATATACCAAAGGATGGGGACATTTATGGTTGGACTTCTTTTTTCAGTTCTTCCTAAAGAAAAGCAGGGGAAAGTAGCGCTGCTCTAAAGATTCATTCCACCATCTCCATTTTTTGCACAGACATAGAAGAATAAGATGCCAGAATATAGCCACGCTATATTGCAAACAGTGCTGTGGATTCTGTATTCAGAACTCTCTTGCAAAAAGTAGTGACATATCTTCTGAGTTGGACAGGTGCAACTAGCTTCTGCTTGACCACATGGCTGGCTAAGAAGCTGCAACATGCATCTTCTGCACATCTAACCACAGGGCTAGTAGCTAACCCTGCTACTTGTATGAAACTGATAGTCTAACATGAGACATGGAAGCTGTTTACAGTGCACTGAACCTTTATCAATGAATATTGATTTCAAATATTTCTACTCTCTTTAGAGAATTTGCTTTAACACACCACTGGCATCTCAAGCATTAGAAGATGTAAAGAATGTAGTAAGGAAAAATCTAAGTGATGGAGTTGTTGACAATGGACTAACGTTGAAGGGTGAGGACCTCATTCTTTTTCGTTATTATATGAAATATGGGAAGGCGATCTGCTGACAAATCTAGAAACTATAGCAAAAACCACAACTTGATATCTATTTATGAATTTGGAAGCCGACAGAACTGCATGGATTTAAATGCACCATGCTTGTACTTTGGCCTTTCTGTGTAGACCAATAGTTTGGGTATGGAATTAGTTAGGCAGCTTATTAACCCATTTTATGTGTAAATCGGAGTCCGTAAGTTCTAGATGCATATTTGTTAAGCTGGAAACAATTGGGTCTGTTGATTTGCCTGCATCTGGAAACTGGCTGCAGGGGTTGTGATAATTCATTTTCTACAAGAATGTGCAGTTTTCCAGATTCACAAGGGAAAAAATGATGTGAAGTGTGACTACGTCTGCCAGTAATATTTGCTGGTACCTCTTAAAAACACATTTTCTTGGGTTCACATGCAGATTCTTAAGGAGCTGTTTACAGAAATGATAGCTGGGTCCACATGCTTTGAATCACCTTTTTCCTAGAGAGCTGCTCAGCCCTCCTGACAGTGGTCAGCCAGATTGATGGAAGCATGATGCTTTCATAGCATTTGGTAGGATCTTATTTAAAAGATACACTTGCATACCTGGAGCATCTTTGTTGTGTTTTCAATTCTAACCTCTCTCCCTGGCCTGTGTTCTAGATTGCCAATTAAACAACTGTCTTTTCAGGCTTTCTTTTTCTCCACACATTATTCATCCAGCGAGGGAGGCACGAAACAACTTGGACAGTATTGCGGCGCTTTGGATATGATGATGACCTAGAGCTCACACCAGAGTATTTATTTCCCCTGTATGTATCAATCAGTTTTTAAAACTTAGTTTAAATTGAATTGGTATTATTGACCTATAAAATGTAAAACCTCTGTTTCACTGCAGAAAATCTGGTACTTTCTAGAACATGAAGGTCTGTTGACTTGACCAAGTAATATCATTCAGTGTTGCTTTCCATTGTGTCCAACCAAGTAGTTTTGGATTGTTTCTACCCAATATAGCGACACATATAATGCTGAATTGGATCTATTTTTAAGAATATTGCTCATAGCATGAAATTATTCCAATCTACTCATCAAGAGGAAACATTTAGTTAGTCAGCGTCTAAAATTTTGAAACTAGTATGTGATGTTTAGAAGGTTATTGGCCAATTATGGTAGTTCTAGAGAATTGGAAGTAAATTTTAACACCTACATAGCACTGGGTTTTGAAGAAACCATGATAGTAAAATTCTTGCAAGGTATGATCATTAGATGCCTTTTCAGTCAGGAGACTCTTTGAATGTGCTTAATTTTTGTCATTGAAGCAAACTGGATTTCAAAACGTTTGGATTTTTCTAGCTACCTTCCATATATGCACCCAGCATTATAGAATAAGCCTCCAATGATGAGTGCAGGTTATGATGTGGGTGTGACATATGGGTAGTTCTTAACTTATCACCATTCATTTAGTGACAGTTTGAGATAACAATGGCACTGAAAAAAAATTACATACAACAAATTCTCACACTTACGATTATCATATCATTCCCACAAGCATGTGATCAAAATTTGGGTGTTGACAAAGAGCATATATTTGTAACAGTTGAGGTGTCCTGGGGTCATGTGCCTGTCAATTAAGGCCTTCCCAGCTGGCTTTCAACAAGCAAAGTCAGTGGGGGAAGCTGGATTCAGATAACAACTGTGATTTATTGAANAGGAAGGAAGGAAGGAAGGAAGGAAGGAAGGAAGGGATTGTACCTTTGTCTGGCTTGTGATCTTTAATCGACCAACGGAATTTATAAAGTCTGCAATTCCTTAACTTTTTGGAAGTAAGTCTTGCTATGTTCAGTAGGACTTATTTCTAAAGAAGTTCATTTAAGTTCACCTGGTACTGCAAACAGCCAAAACCCAAACTCAGTTTAATATTCCCCGCTCCCTTAAAAATTGACTATTAAGGTTATATTTTGGGCTTATACATATCCCTTTTGTGCCCAAATAGTTCTTCTACTGTGTATTCTGGAATTCATGGCAAAGTATGCTGCTAAATACTCAACCTTGGCTGAGTTAAAGAGCAATTTACCATTAAAACAAAAAACGCTGCAGAGTGGAGGGAAGAATTCCAGGAATTTATTTTAGTAATGGCAGGATCGCATGAGGAATTTGCTACAAAAGCAGGATTGGTGGGAAGAGACAATGTTTTCATTTATTTCTTAAGCAGGTTAATTGTGACAAATACCACCTTGGAACATAGTGTGCCCTTATGAATTTAAACTGCACGCATATATTTTGGGTCAGCGTTTTGATTCATCTAAATTTTGATGAGCACAAATATAATATGCCTATAAAGATTGTCCTAAACCAGGGGTCAGCAACCTGCAGCTCTGGAGCCGCATATGGCTCTTTCATCCATCTGCTGCGGCTCCCTGTCACTCAAACTATGTATCAAAACCGTCAATGTGTGACACTCGCTGGGACGTGATTTATTAAGGTTTTCAACCCCTGATAGGCCATCCATGGATAAATTGAAGAAAAGAAAAGTTTCAGGAAAAAAAAACAATGTTTAATTCAACTACATATAAAAGTTTTGTGGCTGCTCAGGAAATAGTCAGGCACGGGAAGGGTTTTGTTGCTCCCGGTGTTTTCTTTTCTGCGGGAAATGGGTCCAATGGCTCTTTGAGTGTTTAAGGTTGCCGACCCCTGTCCTAAACAAATGTTCATCTAGATCCAAGCACACAAAACAGAACCACTGTGTACAGTTTTAGTTCAGATTCAATAGATAGGCATCCAAACAAGATTTCACGTGAGGTACACTAATATACAGATGCTACTCTCTCATTCCTTCCCCCACCTCACCCACTAATGAGCCAGACTTGCAAAGGAGCAAACATTGATAGGAGCACAAGTCCATCTGTAATGTTTCATTCATTTACTACTGTGTGACCTTCACCACAATCCTCCAGTTCATTCTTGGATTGATTGTGTTGCTATTAACGGTTGAGATAGAGACCAGATTTCCCTAAGATGTTGGTGCAAGTCATACACGCCCTTTGGTAGCATCCACTCTGTTACAACTGTCTTCCCAGCAAATGAACAGGTTGAACTGGTAGCTGGATGAACAGAGCAAATAATAATGTTATCACGATAATGAATCACTATCAATATTTACATAGAGTCTGGAAACTTCCATAAACAGCTGTTCTCAAATCAAACTAAGCACTCAATAGCCGAGATTTTTTTTCTCCCAGGCTCAGTTATATGTATATGGTTACTATCCATGGAGGTTTTCAAGTAAGGAGTCAAGTAAGAAAGCCAAGATACCAGAGATAAGGATTTGGAATATCAAAAGGTAAATGTAGAGTCTTCTTCCAGAGGGATAATTTCATAGACATGAAAGTGTAGTTTTCTTGACAATGATATAAAAGACCTTGATCACGGTTCTCCCCCCCCCCCGCCCAATCTAACCTATGGTCAGTATTTCATCCTGGTCTTCCATCAATGAACTAGTCTGGCTAATTTAGGAAAAACCCGAGTTGTGTTTGGGACATATACATTATGTTGCCAAAAGTATTCGCTCACCTGCCTTTACTCACATATGCACTTACTGTAAGTGACATCCCATTCCTAATCCAGAGGGTTCAATTTGATGTTGGTCCACCCTTTGCAGCTATAACAGCTTCAACTCTTCTGGGAAGGTTTAGGAGTGTGTTTATGGGAATTTTTGACCATTCTTCCAGAAGTGCATTTGTGAGGTCACACACTGATGTTGGACGAGTTTACGTAGCCTACCACTTTGTGGCTGAGTGCTGTCTTTCCCAAACACTTCCACGTTCTTATAATACAACTGACAGTTGACTGTGGAATATGTAGGAGTGAGGAAATTTCACGACTGGATTTGTTGCATAGGTGGCATCCTATCACAGTTCCACACTGGAAGTCACTGAGCTCCTGAGAGCGATCCA